AGAAAAAAAAAAATTTAAAACCAACTCAGAATTCGGTTCCCCAGGAACCGAATTCTGAGTTGAAAAAACAAAAAAAATTACATTTTGATGCTCAGAATTCGGTTCCCGGGGAACCGAATTCTGAGCTTGAACAGTAAATGGTTCTATCTTGGTAAATAATCCTGCACAGTGATCATTCTTGTAATTTTTTTTAAAAAAAATATTATTTCAGAAAAAAATTCGGGCTCGTGTTCCTATCAGCATCTATTTCAAGGTACATAGTCACGCAATTATTAATACGTGTTATAGTATAGCAGGAGGTCGATCTCAAACAGTATATACCAGCTATTGAATTGTATTGAAATACTATCAATAATATTTATTAAAAAATTTATGATTATTATTTCACAAACTTCTTCACTTTTCTAAATTTATGCAACGACGTATAACTGGTCTTAAATCTTCATATTCACGGTTAGGCATCTCTGTAACATGCATAACTAATTATTATTAACAACTCTAAATATACCAATCATTATTTAATTTCTAATAAAAAAAATTATGATCATTTATATGACTCCTAAAAGGCAAAATAATGATGATAAAAAATTAATTTTGATTTAGTGATAGCAATAATAGTATACCAATAACAATAACCAGATATATAACTCCTTGATTGAAACTTTTCCCGTGTGCAAAATTTTGTTGAATAATAATTGATAATGAAAAGGTGTTCATAAGTTTTTCATAGAATTTATTAATATCTAGTTACTTCTTAATGAATTTATGTTAGATTTTATCCCAGCAGTAAATCAAACACACTTGTTGGAATTTGGATTCTAATGAGCTCAAAGAGTTGACAAATACAATTTCCTAAATAATACAAAATTGAATAATTATTAATAATTATGACTTATAAATACGTGAGAGGGAAATTTCAACGGTCAAAACAAGACATATTATGGCCCTTTAGACTTTAGAGTATTTGAATGGATTGGAATTTGCGATACGGTTGATCTGTGGTTTGATACACATTAATCCAAATGAATTAATTAAGGCGAAGCAGATAAAAAAGGAATTATCCTGTTAGCAACGAATGAGAATAAGGGAAATGTGATAGTTGTATGAGACATGAGACATGAGACATGAGACATGAGACATGAGACATGCAGCTTGTGTCTTAAAATGAGTCTATCCACTCCAACACAAATGAGAAAGGAAAAAGTTGCCCCACCCACCCCCATGGACACCAAAAGAAGAAGCAAGAGCAACCCTTCCGCTTCACCTGAATTCGAGTTCTGGATGGTTCGAAACCCCTCTTTCCCCCAACCCAACATTCTCTCCGCCGATCAACTCATTGTCAACGGGGTCCTCCTTCCCCTCCACCTCGTCAACAAACCCCACCCATCCCCATCCCCATCCACAACCACAACCACCACCTCCAAGCGCTGGAAGGACATTTTCAGAAAGAAAAACGAGGCCCAGGAGAAGAAGAAAGAGAAAGAGAAAAAAGGCAGCGTCGGCACAGGCGCTTCACCGGAGCTCAACATCAACATCAACCTATGGCCCTTCTCCCGGAGCAGGTCAGCGGGTACCCACCCCAAAGTAGCCCCCCCGTCCACCCGGAAAGCGAACAGCGCGCCATGCTCGCGGAGCAATTCGGCCAGGAAGTGGCCCAGCAGTCCGGGCCGCCCCGGAGTCCATCTAGGAAGGAGCAGCCCAGTTTGGCAGGTCCGGCGTCCCAAGAATCCTGAAGCTGAAAAGCCCAAGCGGCGGAGCCCCAAAAGTAGGGTTCTGAATTTGAATGTTCCGATGTGCATGGGTTACAAACATCACTTCAGCTGCAGAAGCCCGGTTGAAGGAGCTGGAGGTATTAGAGCTTTTAACCTGCGCACCCTCTTCACCAAGAAAACCGTTCTAACCTCTCACTAGTCTCATTTTAATAACTACCCTAAATACTTAGTATCCTATGCTTTTTAATCTTGTAAAGAAATCTACCACTCTCTGCGCTAGATTGCTTAATGTCACAGCCTCCTCTTTCTCTATCTCCAACTGGGCCTACCACTTTACCCTCATTGCTCCCACCTTTTCACTCGTCACAACACACAATTCCAATGCTTACTGCATCATGCCTCTTTATTTTAAATTATTAAATATAATTATAATGTATTAATTAGGATGTTGTAGCATGTAAAAGTAAAACTTATTTTGGATGCTAACTAAACAGAGTTGGATTAGAAAACTTTATTACTAGTGTTTTCTAATTCCTTGCTAATGAGGGGCACTTCCTGCTCTTATGTTCAAACTTGAAAGCTTGTGATGAATAAAGGATCGCTCTTGATAAGAATTTCACTCTAGTTCTATTATACAAGAATATGGAACTGTTGAATTAATCCAATTCTTTCCTCACACCACAAGCCATCATAGAGTCGTCATTCACTTCAAAACCAATTTTATTTGAAATCTATTTTGCAAACTCTCGCTTAAACCCACCACATGGAATCCGTAGACGAACGAATACAATGAGGCATTCAAAATATCTTATTCCAAAACGCTGGTTAAAAACAACAATGAAAATGATGAGGACTCAGGAGACAAACAGAAGCCCAGAAAGATGGAAACTGGAAAAGCTAAATGATCACAAAATGTCTGTAAGAACAAAACTTATATAAAGTTCCTCAAATACAGTTGTTGCTGTTTTTTTTTAATTAAAATTAGAATTTAACTTCAATAATACACATTTATATATATTATCAAGAGAAAATTTTAATTTTGATTATTCATATTTGAAAAAATTGTACCTAATTTTTTTTCAAAATTAAAATAGAGAATACTCTGAAATGGAATAAAAATAACAAAGGTGAAAAATGAAAATGGGTTTTGTGCTGACTATCACACCAGCAACGTCATTGGGCCAAATCTGTATGCGGCCTTGTTGGCGGCGGGGATATTTAATGCCTTCATCATTCAGTATAGTGACGACATTGTTAATATAAAAAAGGTCGTAACTTGGGTATACAAATAACAATGGCACAATAATTATGATATGAAATATTCACCGTTAGAAATTATTGGAGATTATAAACACATACAAAGATAAGTTTAATCAATGCTAGATTTATCATCATAGAAATAATTGTAGATCCATTTACGAACAAATTTTCAATATACTTTCTTTTTAACATCTGTAACTTCTATGTAAAAAAAAAAAAAAAAAAGTGTAATTTTTTCATTATTTAGTAATAATAATTTTATCTCTTATATTCACGTTTTTATTTTGAATTGTAATTAAAGTTAAAAATGGGCATGTAAATATAAGGCAGAAAAAAGAGTTTTTTTCCTCTCTCTTTGCTAGCGATATGGACCAGATTCTGGGTTTTGGTATACGTTAGAGGGCACATGCATTTTAAGGTTTTTTTACCAACCATCGCATTCGGAAGAAAAGTTCCGCAAAGGAAAATTAAAACGATTGCATTTTCATTCTTGAAGTCAATTAATTAAGCTTTTGGATCGCTCCATTATTTCTTAGGTAGGATGACGACTACATATTAAACCTAGTTTAATTTATGGTTCGGATAGAGTTGTCAACCCGGTTAAATCAAATCCAAACTTAACACCAGATCCGGTTAGACATCTCAGTTAAATTAGATTCAAAGATTGTACCGGGAAAGGTGTTAGGTGCCAATTTTTACTTAAATTTTATAGTTATTATTAAGTTTTATTCTTCATACTTTTACCTTTTTTATTTTGCAATTGCCCTCAAATTTACAAATATGTAAATAGTTAAATGATTATTAAATTAAAATCCTTGTTTTTCATTCTAAATCTGTGTTTAGTTGATTATATTCTTATGTGGGTCAAAGAGGAAAAAATAATCGATGAAGGAGAGAAGATCCGGAAGTTGGTGGAAAATTATTTAAGAAAAAATATCATCCAAGTCCACTAATTTAAAATTTTTCTTAGGTGAGCAGCAATAGTTTAAGTGAATTTGCTAATTTAAAAGAATAATCTTACCTAAAATCATTTAAGCGAATGAGAAATGATTTAAATAGATTAATTAACCAATTTTTAAGTGAATCATCTTTGTCAAAAAATGGTTTAATTGAACAAAGAATGACTCAAGAAAAATGTGTTTTGAAAGAATGTTCTCTGCTTTAAAATCACTTAAGTGAAGGAAAAAAAATCTTTAGCGGATCCATCAAATCAAATAATATCACTCTTTGGTTGAAATTTACTTATGCAAATCATAGTGGTTTAAGTGAATTAGTTTTTTTGTTTTTTTTTACAAAGAAGTGTCTTAATTCGTTTAAGCAAATCTAATTTGAATTATTTCTCTTATTTTGAAAAGTGGACATATAAGTTATTTTAAAAGTTGTGGCTCTCCTCCGTTACCATTTCTAAAGTTCTCTCTTGAAGAACCATCATTGTTACATGAAGAAATCGATAACAATTATGAATTGATTTTTTAGCATTTTTGTAATTTGAGAAATATCTATGTTGAACTTTTTTTTAAAATGTTGAACTTACTTTTATCTTAACAAATGAAGTTGGAAAACATCCATGGAGGAAAAGTTGTTCGTTATCTTTCATTTTTGTAGAAGGATAACATACTTTTTTTGACAAAATTACAACACAAGAAGCTTATTGAATTATTGTATCCTTTGCGCAATTAATGGTCATATAGATTTTGGCACGATAGTCAAATTAGATAAAACTAAATTGTATTTTAAACAAGATGAGCCAAAAAAAACTATTATATAAATCACTCATGATAGAATGGGTATAAAAGTTATTAATGTTGAAAACAAATATCTTAGATTCCCCACTTTAGTTGGGAGGTCTAATAATAAACTTATCTTCTCCGAGGTTCTCAAGTATGTGATGAATAAATTGAAAGGTGAAAGGAAAGATCTTTGTCTACAATTGGGTAAGAATTTTTAATTGAGTTTTTGGCGCAAGTTATACCAAGCTATGTAATCAAGGTCATGGCTGCTCAAGATAAATGAGATAGTTGCGTTAGACCTTTGGTCATCTAAGGGTTTTTAATTTTAATTAAGCTTTTTAGATGATAATTTTTATAATATTATTTGTAATTAATTCAATAGTAATATATTATTAAAAAAAAGTGTATATAGGTTTGATTTATATACTTTAGCTCAAAGGAGAGTATCGAAAATCAGAATAATTTTTTTCTATTTATTGTATAGTGATTTGTAGAAAATAAACAATTTAGGAAAAACGAAAAATCCTCTAATCATGCATAATAAATGTAACGCGTATATAGGTGTAGTTGAGACATACGAATTCGGTCGATCATGTTTTTATTTTTCTCCCTCTCCATTTCAACAGTAAGATTATGTTATTTAGAAACAAAAAAAAGTGTATGTATGTGTTGTTGTAAAGTATTTAAGAAGTTTTATTACTTATTAAAATATTTGTATAAAATTATTCTACATTCACTTTAAACTCTAATAAAAAAATTAGCATTATCATGAATGTAGAGCTTAAATTTATATAAAAAAAAATTATTCATATAATTTTTTTTAGGATAATATAATCATAGAGTTTTACAATTCAGTTAAATATTTTTAGTACTTTTTTACTTAAAAATAATAATTCTTTTAATTCTGTAGGCATGTTAAATCAATTTATTTTCTTTGATGAAATTTATTACGAAAATGTTAAAATATGAAATCACTTATAACTTGTATTATTTAAATCTTAATAATTAATTTTAATTTAAACGTATTTTTAGTCTTTTTAATATGAATAAGTTTTGATTTTGATGTTGAACGCAATAAAAATAATATCGGGTGTGAGTTACTAATTAAAAATGTATTTTTTAATTGACCAAGTATTGAGTATATGTGTGATAGTTGGGTTCCTTTCATGTTGTATGTAGCTATTGATTATAATGTATTGTATATGGAGCTAAAATGATTTATGTGGATATTTAAGTTGTTTAAAATTGTAAGCTGAAATGTAATAAGTGTTGTATGTTGTGTAGTGTTAGTTGTTAAGTAGTTGTGTTGAGAATGCTCGAGACATGGTGTTGAGTTATGTTAATTGACTTAGGACTAGAGGAGATCTTGTGTTTAGAAGTTGAATATCTCATTATGAGAATACGGTTGTAATGTTCTACAAATTCAGTTGTTGAAAACCCTTAGAGAAGTTAACTTTTGAAGTAGAGTGTTGAGTTTTCTTTAGGATATTAGTTAATATGATATGGAGGCCAAGTTGAGCTATACTGCCTATAAGCAGCCAAATGTTGATTCATATGAGGATTAGGTTAAATCATACATGTATAATGTGACTAATATAAATCCTTGTGGGGTAAGGTCGAGTCATACATATATAAAGTGATCAAAATAGAGTAAGGTACAAGATTAATGGCCAAAATCCCTAACAAAGTACTAAAAGGGGTATAGTATTTAAAGGGCAGTCAATAGATTAATTCCATATGAGGCTTACATATGCATACTAAGGTTATGGTAAGCTCACATCCAAGCTATCCTACCTTGCATAAATACCGGACTTTCTTAGTTTAAGTGGCAAAATCTGATAAACCATACTGTGCTGTGGATTTTTATCCAAAATAATTTTTAATCTAGCTAATCCAAGAAGATAACATTATTAAGTTGATTCGATAATGTCAAAACACTTAGACAAGGGATCTTTTGGTTGAACGTGTGATGACACATATAATAGTTGTGTTGTGGAGAATGTTGTCTTACTTGTTGTGTTGAATTATTGTGATTTTCACAGATGAAGTTGATATATTATATAGTAAGTTGATGAGTTGATGTGATGTTGATAGTGTAGTATATGTAACCTCTACACTTGTTATGGTATTTTTCTGTAAGTTTATCCTTGCATGTTTAATTGTGTTAGAACTGCGATGATCATATTTTGTATGTAGGAGTAGGACAAGGATAGGCAGAAGGAGGAGTTCCTTTTGGGGAGTCATGTTGGAGGATTCGTTGTAAGATCTAATGATATAAAATGTAAGTATAAAACTTTAATCTAAATCTTATATCTTGAATAAAATTTTGTATAATACAAATTTAACTGATCCAACCATTGAATTATATGATATTTTATACTCATGATTATGTATATTAAATTTCACATAATTTTCATTTTTCTAAATATGTTATTCAACAATAAATATTTACACATATTTTAAATATCATATTATAAATTAAAATAAAAGTAATGTGATGAATAATTAAATAATTTTGGAATCGTGGGAAACTTAATATACATGATGATGGATCATATAATTTAATGATTGAATTAGTTAAATTTTTATTATAAAAAAATTATTAAAATATAATCTTTAATATAAGTTTTTAAGTTTAAAGATTGATTTTTTCATTGTATGTAATATTTATTCAATATCAGTAACAAAATTTTATAAAATTAAAAGAATAAAATAAAATTCATAAATTGTATTAAATTATTATTCAAATATAGATTTTTTTGTTGTTGTAAAATTTCAATATTTTTGAACATTATCATCTGTTAATTGGTTTACTCGGAAAAAAAAAAAACTAACTAATACTTAAAATATCTATAAAAAAAATTAAATTAGTTTATTCAATCATATTAAAAAATTAAAAGTTTAATATAAAAGAATCCAATAAATTTTTTTGATTTATTTCATAATTTATTAAATTTTGTGACTCTAATTAACGAGACATAGTAGATATGCTTTGTTTAAATTGTTTTATTATTTATTTTTATTAAATTAATTATTTTTTAAGAAATAAAATTGATCTGTTTTTAAAAATTATTTTATGTAGAAGTATATTTTTTAAAAAAAATTAAACAAATTAAACCAGTGTAACAATATAACATTTGGACATTAAAGATATAAATGAAAGGAATATAAATATAAAGAGGGAATAAGAAATTAAGAATGCATAGTGCATAGCATAAACAGAGTTAAAGGATTCTGTTGCGAATTGTGTCTCCAAAGAGTGTGAGGAAGAGTTAAGAGAAGAGATTGGGAGAAAGTAGAAAAAAGAAGAGGAGATATTGTCCTCTCTCACTCTCAATGGCTTCGAGGGACAAGAAAACATCCAAACCCTCCACCAGTCGAACTGGCAGGATTCGTACACTCTCCGATCTCAACCGCCCTTCCGCCAACTCCGACTCCGACTCGGATGACCCTCAGGAGTATTACACCGGCGGCGAAAAGAGGTTCTTTTCTCTCAAAAATTAAAATACCCTAATTCTTTCCACGATTTCCTGATTCTGCTGTGTTATGTGTATTTTATTTCGTATGGCCTTTCTGTTGTTCAGCGTGCAGGATATGGAAACCTTTCTATTAGGCTAATTATAATTTGCAAAGAAGTTTTGTTTTTTAGGTGATAATTTTCTAGTACTTTGATTGTTGTTCATAATAGTTTGCATTGCAGCTCGTCTCCTCGTTTTGTCTTTAGCAATTTTGTCAACTCTTAATTTCTCAGTTCCTTAGATATGTTCTGTTAGGTTTCCGAATGAGTGTTACCTTCGATGATCAAGCTGGTATTGTTATAATCTATTATAAATAAGTTTTTGGAGCTATTTCGAATCTTCACATGATTTGTGTATAATTCAAAGTGAGACCTACAATTAGTGCTACCATTATACTGTTTCTCTTCTCATGATTAGGTGCCATTATTCTTCAGTTTATCGTTTTATGATTGTAGATTGTGAATGTTACGATGGGTGATAATTGGTACTTCCTGCATCTACTGTTGTGACATGGAGCTTTTGTTTCACTCGTTTGATGGCTTGTCCCCACTCCCTTATCCTTCCACATTGCATTCTGGGTTGATAGAGCTGAAAATCTTGTCCAATTAAGATTAGTGGTCAGATTTTACTCAAAATGATCTTTGAGAAAAAGAGTTTGAATTTAAAAACTTGGCTTTAGCCTTTCAATAAAATCATGCTTTTGATCAGCTCTTACCACTTATATTTTCAAGCTATTTTGGTTGAAAATTGGGATCCCTTTTCAGTTAATCAGTGTTGGATTTATTAAAAAGTACTCTCATCTGATCCAACTTGTCAAAAAGGAGGGGTAAATTTCCTAGGAATGGTGTACCCCCATCAATTTCCCACATGTTCACAAGTATTTTTTGCTTGTCGTTACTTAAATGACGGTGTTTATTTTTAAAGTCTATAATGACTTATGTAAAGCTTCATATTATTATTTCAAGCATTGTTCACATCCTTGCTTTAGCTACTTTATGTTTATTAGGTTGGGATATATGTTTGAGTGTGTGTACACTACAAAATATTAAGCTTCACTCTTCCAGAAGACCAAGCCTTTTTTAAGTGAAACTCACTTTTGACTACTTCCATTACTGTTTGTATTTTGTCTGTAAAATTTTGTTTTCAGAAGGCTTATAATCTTTTATTGATTAAATGGAATTAATACCTCTGTTATCATGCTTGCTAAACTATAAATTTAATGTTCATATAAACTTTGCTGAATTAGTAAAATATATATTCCAAATATCTTTAGTTGGTTTTAACAATTTGTGATTTTTGTATTGGATTTGACCATTGTGCATTATATCTCCAGTGGAATGCTTGTCCAGGATCCTTCAAAAGGCAATGATGTGGATGCAATTTTCAACCAAGCAAGGCAGCTTGGAGCTGTAGAAAGGCCTATTGATCAACTTCAGGAGCCGCCAAGGTCAACAAGCTTTACTGGAACTGGCAGGTTACTCTCGGGTGAAACTGTACAAAATGTTACTCAGCAACCTGAGGCTGTTGTTCACAATATTGTTTTCTGGACTAATGGTTTCACCGTAAATGATGGGCCTTTGAGGAGCTTGGATGATCCTGAAAATGCCTCATTTTTAGAGGTAAATGATAACCTCCCCACCCAAATAACATTGCCTCATTTTAAATGTTGTTCTCATCAGGATTTGATCTTATTTAATGATACTTGTTATGCTTGAATGCAGAGCATTAAAAAATCCGAGTGTCCCAAAGAACTTGAACCCGCAGATAGGAGGTCATCTGTTAATGTCAACCTCATCAGGAGGAATGAGAAGTATCCTGTGAGTTTTGTTGTCTTTTGTTTACAGATGATTTACTATGAAATCAGGTTGAATTTGACTGACTAACTACTAGTTCTAATGTTTTTTAAGATTTGCTTTTTGAAATGAGATATGGATCTTTTTATGTGCATGATACTTATTTTTATTTAATCTTGTATCCAAAGTGTAAATTAGAGATGCATTTTATTGCACATGCAGGAACCCGAAAATCAGCATCTTCCATTTCAAGGTGTGGGAAGAACTCTAGGAAGCAGCTCTATTTCGGTGGCAGAGCCGATTGTTACCTCAATAGCTCCCAACACTGGCCCAAGCTTTTCTGCTGACCTCGTGGTGGATCAATCATTGCCAACAACCTCAATACAGCTTAGGTTAGCTGATGGAACTCGCTTGGTATCACAGTTTAATTATTACCACACAGTTGGTGACATTCGTGCCTTCATAAATGCCTCTAGACCTGGGGGCGTGGGGAATTATCAACTTCAGATGATGGGTTTCCCCCCAAAGCCTCTCTCCGATGAAACCAAGACTATAGAAGAGGCCGGACTGGCAAATTCAGTTGTCATCCAGAAATTCTAGCACTGCAGTTTTGTTGTTTGCATAGCGACAATTTTAACTTTTATTGAGGGTGAAGGTGTGAGGTTCTTTTGTTAGTAAAGACAAAAGGATTGTGGATTCTTTCTTCTTGTTGCATATGTTTTATGGAAGAAAGTAAGTTGTCCTTCCTATAAATTGGGTCTATTGATTAAATTTGAAATATATTGAGTACAGTTAAAATGTTGGAAAGTTCATATAGTTCATATAGGCTTAACAGATTTTGAATGTCAGTAGAACAATGAATTTGGACACGAATACAGTCTCTGAGATACAATACTGTATCATAAGAATTTACCCTTTATTTAAAATATAAAAAAATCTTAAAATATCTATAACTTCTTTTTTAATTTTACATTTTCAACTTTCAATTTAACATTTTCTTCTTTTGTCACATATTTCATTATCTCTTCTTTTCAGTTTTCAAATGTACTTTTTTGTCTTCCATTATTTTTCACTTATTTTAGAATATAGTTTGAATATTTTTGATTTTCATATTATTTTCTTCTTCTTTCACTTCTTTTAGTTTTCATATGTACGGAAACCATGGAATAGGTGCAAAACAATATTGTAGGCATGTGTGGCTTTGTTGACAATTTCAAATGTGTCCAATTAGATGCATGTTTTTTTTTTCAAATATTTCATCCCCTTTTCACACTTCTAGAAACCTTAATATTAAGTTTAAAGTTTTGAAAAATACTTTTCAATTAATTTCAATATTTCATAAAGTATTTTTTGGAATAATGAAATCAGTATTTCAAAAAACATTTTTTGAAATTGTGTTTTTACATACTTTTAAAAAAGTATTTTTCATAATACTAAATTTATTATTTTGATTTTTTTTAAATCATGTAAAATAAACACTTCTGAAAAGTACTTCCTAAAACACTAAAATTAGTGCTCCAAAATATACTTTTCAAAATAGTAAAATTAATGTTCTTGGAAGTATTTTTTGAAAGTGTAGTATTTTACATAATTTCAAAAAGTTTTTTTGAAACTGTAAATTTAGTGATCTAGAAAACACATTCTGAAAATATGTTAAAAATACAATTCCAAAAAATCCTTTTCAGGGCATTAATTTTATTATTTCGAAAAGTATTTTCATGAATACTAAAATTATTTGTAATACTTAATCTAATATTGTGCTTTCTAGACGTGTAAATGAGAAAAAGTGTTTGAAGAAAAAATACATATTTAAATCGACACTTTCAACATTGCCGAAAAGTCAAGTACGCCTATAATGTTATTGAACACCAGTTATATATCTCAAGTGTGTGAAAATTAGAAAAGGGAAAAGAGAGAATAAAAGTGTAAAAATTAAAAATGAAGGGAAATAAAATAATGTAAAAAAATGAAAAAATTAAAGTTACCTACTGAAATAAGTAGTGAGTGGAAGGAAGGTAGAAGGCACATGTGAAAACTAAAAAAAATTGAAGAGAGAAAGAGATGTGTGAAAGAAAAAAAAAAGTGTTAAACTAAATATTAAAAATATAAAATTAAAAAATATTTAAGAAATTAGTGTATAACATTCTGTAAACACAACCCATTCTCGAGCCCAATTAAGGAGGCCTTATCATAACATATTAACATGTTATGCTTTGCTCCTACACACCACTTTTCATAAACTAAACCCATTCTTAATTAAGGAAGCTTTATTATAACCCAGTTGATTTTAATTTTTATACTCTTATAATTTTAACATTTAAAAATTGTTTCAAAATGAATAATTTCTCAACTTTTATTCTAATATTATTTTTTTTCTCTAATTTATCATTTCATAAGTTATTCAATCATCCAAATTAAAAATAATGCACTTATTGAGAAAGTTGACTATTTTAATAAAATTGTATAAAAAATGATATATTTATCGAGAAAGTACTACAATATCTTTGTCTCTATTTATTAAACTTTTTTTAAAACTAAATTATACCCTTTATGAAAATTAATTATTGTAGTTAATTATATTAAAATTTTCAATAATTTAATTATTTTTTCCAAATTATCCTTAACATTTCTTAAATTAATTTTCACTCTTTCTACTTAAAAGTTTATCACCTAATTAATTAATGTTTGAAAAAAGGATAATGTCAAACTAGATGAGAAAGATATTTATGTGATTGTTTATCTTTTTCAATTTTAATGAGATAGAGCTTTTATCCAATTAAATTTAAACTTTTTTTACGAGAAAAATTATTAATTATTAAGAACATTTTTTTTAAAATAATTATTATAACTGACAATAAGAAAAGTTTCTAATAAAAAAATGAGAAAAAAATAAAAATGATCTTATATTTAAAAAACAAAAGTAATACTACTTTGAAATAGATGTTTTAGAATCTATGACAGTGAATTATTAAAAAAATTATTGATAAAAAAACAATTAATAAAATTTGTTTTTCTATCCTCTAAAATTACTTACTTTATCCTTAAAATTTACAAACAGTTTCCCTTTCTCCGACTTAGCACATGAATGCATGTACGGTTTCCCGTTAGCATAAATTCTCAAGCATGTAAACAGAACAAAAACAACTAATCTTTTTACTGCAAATGTACTTTAAATTCTGTCCTAACTAAAAACCAAACACACTTCATCTTTGCTCAACGTGGTACAAATTAAAACATAGCCGTACTGTAGAACAATATCTAATAGCCACAATCTTATTTTAACACCTAACAATATCTTAAAGAAAAAAAAGATTCAAAAGGATCAACTAGTGGTGCCGTTCCATTAGCGAAAAGCTAAATATGCTTATGTGAAAACAAGATTTAAGATTTACTTTATGTTGGAAAATTGTGAACCAAGGAGCTGTGAAGAAACATCAATTATATATGGCACCAACTTGTCAACTAGTAAGGTGCCATCTGACTTGTCGAGTGAAATTAAATTAACTTTTAACAAGATAACTCACGTAGGTGCTTGGTGGAGGGTACTAAGTACTAACATGTCTTTTGTGGCACACAGATGATGTTGCAACGCCAAAGGGAACCTTGGACCCACCACTACTTAATGCCTATTTACTTTTCTATCCATAACGTGCTTCCTAAGTGAGATTATGTCATTAATTAATATTAATTTGATTGTTCCCATTGGTGGACACTGGACAATCTTATTATGTGGCGCACATTAAGTTTTTCACTTTTTTGTGTACTTACTCTGAATATTTGACTGATTAATGAATAAACTTTTTTATTTTTATAATATTTTAAAAATGAAACCTTACATATTATGGCATGGAACAATTTTCCTTGGGAGATCATGAAGCAGGAGTAAAAAAGAGGAACTATAACCACGTTTATTTGGAATAGCAGCACAACATGCCATGAACAGGACCCAACATACTATAAACAGGGCGTCAATTGTTTTTTCTTTTGCTATAATCTTTTTCCGGTATGCCACAACTTTATCATGATTTGAATATAGATTTGACTCCTTAATCAAATCATAATAATCTGTCTACAAAGTGGAAAAAACCAATTATACCTATCAGCATAAAAGTAAAATATTAATGATAACTTTAGGGTGTTAATATTAAAATATTAAGCAAAGAAATCACCATATCTTTGGGATTGATGTCAAATTCAACAATTTCTTTGAACTATACACTAAGGTACAGATAACACCACCTACTAAAGTTACTCGCCTCATAAAATAATGGAAATAACAGTGCTAATAGCCATCTTTTGGCTGCATAATAGATATACTATGATGTCTGTGCAATAATCATTCATTTTGCCCAAAAGAATTGGTAAATATTACATTCCTTTGGCGCAAAAGAGGGTTATTTTTCTATTTACATCCCTTTACGATATCAAGGCCAGAGCCAAATGTGGTCAAAGTGTGATTACTCCCAACTATGTATGTCACACAAAATTTTCATGATATTATAACTTATTTTAATTTTAACAAAATTTCACCATCCAAAAATCCTTCAAAGCAGTCAAAGTGAGAGATTTACATTACAATGAGAGTGTACAGGTATATTCACTTCTTTTAATTAAATCATTAATATATATTTAAAAATATTGTATTTATATTTTATAATTTTATATATTAAATTTATTAATGATTATTTTTATATTTATATTTTATTCTTTGTATATATAATGATGATTATTAATTATTTTTAAAAAATATTATCTCAACTAATTTAAGATTTTAAATTCATCACTAATTACAATATTATAAGTAAGATTAATCTCTTTGATAAGTTGAAAGATACTTGTGAAAAAATTATTAAAACTCTTATAAAAAAATTATCCTTTCACATGACATATTATAAGGGTGTAATTGTAACAAAATCTGAACTTTAAGCAATATTTGTAAAATATCATTTAATTATGTATAAATATTATTAATTTATTTTTGTTATATATTATTAATATTGTATATAATTTATCTTAGTAAAAACTTTTAATAAAGTTTTTAAGTGTTATTAGAGTAGTATTTTGCATCATCTAAATAATATTGTTAAGTTTTTGTAAATAAATTATAAATAATATTGTTAAGTTTTTGTAAACAAGTTTTTTAAACTTAAAATTATTTTGAGTTAGTGAGAACCTAAGTTTTACTTTATGATTATATTTCCGTTATGTATTATATTTTTTAATTCAACGTAAGACTTTAATTTTGAAAAATAATTTAGAAATTGAAGAAGTATATTTTTTATGTGTTATTCTTTTACTTAATGTAAGACTTTAATTTTAAGAAATAATTAAAAAATAATATTAAGATAAAAAATATTACTCTATCTATAATTTATAGTACTATCTTTGATCCTAATTATAAACAACAAATTAAGATTTTTTTTTTCTAATTATAAACAATAATCATTAATTTTTAAAGTTACTTAAAGTTAATTTTTGTTAATAAATTTTTTTTATTAATTTTATTTTTTATATATTTACTTATAACTAATTTTAAATATAATAACTACTTAAAATAAAGAATATATTTGAAATAAAATTTGATTCTACGATAAAATTAATTTAAAAAACTATAATAATTATTTTTTATCTTACAAATTATATTATATTACTTATAATTAGGATTATAAGTAACAATATTTAAAAAAGAATGTTACAATAATCTATCAATGATAACATTTACTAAATGAAAGTAAGCAAATATTTATAAAGAATTTAAATGCAATATATAATATTTTTGCTGAGAAAAAAAAATTCCAAGGAAGAGATGATACATTCAATCTTACTAGATAGAATATCATATTGGTATGTTAATTAGGGAGCATATTAA